TCTATTGCACTTTTTCCCCAAATAAAGTTATCTTGGCTGAACTATGTAAATACCCACACGCACACATGAATTCTCCTGCACTGGTGGACGTTCTCTGGGCTCATTGTTTTAGAGGCCCTGTAACAAAGGCCAACACGAATTGCTTTCCATTTGCCAAGCTCTGTTGTAAGTGCCAGCTCCTGTGGTCTTCCCAACAACTCTATGCAAAAAGGCCTTTATTATTATCCTAGAGGAAGGGGACACACACAGAGGTTAAGCTGGCCAAGGCCACACAGCTAGTGCACAGCTGAGACTGGAACTCGGGCCACCTGGCTCCAAAGAATGTAAAGGTCAAGAGTGGGTTTTGGCCCAGCCGACGTGGCTCAGCGGTTGAGCATCAACCTAGGACCCAGTCAGGGCACATGCCCAGGTTGTGGGCTTGATCTTCAGGTAGGGGAGGTGCAGGAGGCAGCCGATCAATGACTCTCTCATCATTGATGTTTCTGTCTCTCTCTCCCCCTCTCCCTTCCTCTCTCTGAAATCAATAAAGATATATATATTTTTTGAAAAGTGTGGGTATTAGAGTTCAGCCACTCACCTAACTTGTGACTTTGTGCAAGTTTACCTGGCTCCCTGAGCCTCAGTTTCCTTATCTGTAAAATAGGGATCCATCCTGCCTCACCGGGTCCATCAGATTGGCAGACTTCCATGTGGGACCCATCACAGAGCAGGCACTCATAAGCACACTTTTTTTTTTTTTTCACTTCTGGATTCTTCATCCAACTTTATTGTAAACCGACCAGGGTTCCCAACCCCCATTCTCTGTTCTGTTGGTCGCTGTATTTACCGGTAGGAGCTGTTTGAGGTGTAGTCTATCCTGGCACTGGGAGCAGGGAAACTGAGGTTTGTTGGAGTCTGACTGTGCTCCAGGCGTCATGCTGGAGCTCCTCTGTGTGATCACAGGAGCAGCGCTCTTTGCTGAATGTTGGAGCATCGTGGGCCTTTCTGGCCTTCAGAGGGTTGGCTCTGCTGGGGGAGGAGAAGGGGAGATGGCTGGAAATGGAGACTTTATCTGTGCCATCTGTCAGCATGGGGGCGGGCCTGGCCTGTGGAATGCTGTCCTGATCTCCACAGCTCCATGTTAACTCCCGTAAATGGGAATAGCTAAGGGCATGTTTCCAGGAGTGGCCAGAGTGGTGGGCTGGGGGCAACGTGAATGCTCACAGCTCAGGGAGCCACAGGGAGGCGAGATTCTTGAAGGGGGGAGGGCCGAGCTGAATGCTGCTGCATGGAGGTCCAGCAAGAGGATAACCGTGGGCGTCCTTTCCGTTTAGTTACAGGATGGTCTTTGGTGACCTCGGAGTGAGCGGGGTGGTGGGACCAGGGCCACTGTGGGACACGTTCCCTGGGAGCTCCCTCACTGGAGGCCCAGGGGTGGGTGCTGCGTGGGTGCACCTGACTGCTCGCTGCGAGTACAGGATTCTTTCCAGGAGTTGTTGCCTCACTGCCCCCTCCCAGCCCCCTGAAGAGAAGCACTGAGGAGGCCACCTGTCATCCCCAGGCTCTGCCCATCTTCCTAGATAGACTGTCCCCTCCTGGCACCCTCTTAGCAATCTCTCGGGTACAGTTCTGGGAGAACAGCTTGGCGATATTACCACAGCTGAACATACTCAGGTCCACTTCTCGGTAAGCGTGCCAGGCTCGCCAAAGTGCAGGTGCCCGAGCGGTCATCGAGCACTGCCGTCAGCCCGGATCACAGACCCCCGTGCCGTGGACTGTAGCAGGGCTCCCCGAGGGCTGGACAGTCAGGCTGTGGACTGTTCCACAGCAGTGAGTGTGGGGCCGAATCACGCCAGCCCTGGTGAGGGAGGCAGCCAGGCACAGAGGAAGGCGCTTTATCAGCCCTGCTTGGAATGTGCAGAAGCAAGCACAGCGCACCTGCGGCCGGAGACTGGGGGAGAGGAAGGGAACACTGGGCATGTTCCGTCTCTCCATCTGGGGAGTTTCCATGGGTGGGTTCCCTCTGTGACAGTCGCAGAGCTGCACACATCTGGTTGTGTACATATTGTACAAATGCTGTAATACGATGGAAAAGTTCTGACAAACCAGCAGGGAACTCCCCTTCCCAGCTGTCGGCACCGCCACTGAGATGCGTGCTGAGGCCTCTGGGGGGGTGGCACCTGGGTCTGAGTCCCCGCTCTCTGTCTCTGGCCAGGCTACTCGGCACCTCTCTGGTGTCAGGTGTATTCCCTCCCGGTGTACAGGGTAACTGAGCTCGAGGGTGGCAGAGTCCAGGCTGCTTGTCACGCCCCGGCCCCCCTGAGGCTCCTGATGCCCAGTGGTCTGCACTTCCTAGAAGCCGCCACAAAAACCCCCTCCCGCCCTCTCTGCCTTCATAAACCAGAGTCCCCATGGCCCTGTTTGCCATCAAGTTCAGCTGTCCCTTTTTCTTGGATTGGGTCGGGAGAGAAGTGCTCCTTGTGGGATAAAGTGGGTGTGTGTGAGGACAGTCTGGTTTCTGGAGAGCACTTTCCACTGGCCAGCTCTCCCCATAGAGCCCAGATTCCAGAGGCCGTGGTCCAGAGGCAGGGCCACTCCTGTGCCCAGCCAGAGTCCCCTGGCCTTGAGGATGTCACCTGCCCCCTCCGCCCAGGAGGGAAGAGCCTAATGAGCAAGATCACTCCCCAGCGCCTCCTGCCCTTACCCCCCCCCCC